GAGTTGAGTGGATGTTGTGGCTCATATTCATTTATCCTTGATTACTGAGGACTAAGATGGAATGCTTCGTGTTCAGTAAAAAAGATCTCCGGTTCTCTACACTCACCATACGAAACACAGATGGTATTCTGTGAGAGTGTGATCCTTCACCGGTCAAGCTGACCCATTCATGCTACAACTATTATATAACTGCAACGTGGCTCTACCACGTTGGTGAGTGTAGAGAACCGGAGACCCTTTTTACTGGATATGAGGCATTCCATCTAAGTCCTCGGGGGTGACAACGCATCTGCATTTTGATTCTTAATCGAGGATAAATGTAGTTGTTATGGGCCACAGCATCGATTTAGTAAATTGTATGCTCGTTTGTCACCCATATTATATAAAAGCATAGGTATTGATTGTACACTTTTGTTTTAAGGTTCTGATGTATATTATACAAGATTTTGCGGCATTTCCCAAAGACAGCCCAGCCGGATTGGATTTATCAGTTGATCTCTTGGTTTTGAAGTTATGATCGGCTGTAATGATGATGATGATTATGATGATGATGACGATTTTATAACATTTTAGAGCTTGCCGTCTTTCTTTATATTTATAGAAATATTGCGTCAATAGGCATGGCAAATATTAGCTCAATGCTGCTGTGTTTCGTATGGTGAGTATTTTATTGGATACGAGGTATTCCATCTTAGTTTTCAGGGGTGACAACGCATCTGCGCATCGCGCGGTGCTTATAATAGAGCTATATAAATACACAACATAGTGCAACAATATCTTAATCTTCAAACATAACAACACCACCTACATTCTGATACTTAAGAAAGATAAGAAGTAGGCTGCATATGGGTAACATGAAAAAAAGGCCTTAATTTTCATAATGTGTTTAATGACTTATTATAATTTTAACAATCATATACCATGTATGTACACCGATAAGCAACAATATAGAGTTTTACAAAAGCTTTACGACAAGTATTGTGTTTAGATACACATATTAATCTAAAGAGAAAATACTTTAGTACATTGACAGAATATTAGAAGCAAGTTAAGTTACTTTAAGGATAGTTTGAGCAACTCTAAAAGCAAGACAAATAGATAATTTGAAAGCTACGTTCAAGATCAGTCAAATACTTATAATGACATCAACACGTATTATTATGAAAACATGCGATATCTATTCTAGTAATAGGTAGTCCGAAGCATTGATATACCTTCAAGATACGTTCGTTCCAATAATTGGACAGGCACTTCAGTTTACAAAAATGAACTATAAATCGTAGATAATGTAACTTTAACTAAACTAATTCCGACTTTTTAATTTGACGGCTCCGTGGCGCAGTGGCTTAGCAATGAGTTGTTGCGCTTGGGACCACGGGTTCGCATCCCGCACGGAACAAGTATTAGTATGGCCTACAAATAATTGTTCCGAGTCTGGATTCTGGAGGTTTATGCTAGTGCAATTTATGTTTATAAACTGCCTCCACGACACAGGAGAAAATCCTAGTGTGGGGGTAACGTTTTTAAAAACAGAAAAAGAAAAGAAAAAAGAAAAAATTCGCCTATTAATTGCAACTTTTAAAAATCCTGTATATTATATTGAGATTTATGGTTTTCTAAAACTATTCAATAAGTACATTTCCGTAATAGCAGTCAAAGATTAACGCCCGCTTTCCATAACGCTTGACCAATGAAACTAATTACAAAGTCTAGTTTCTATTAAGTTGTCGTAGATCACCATACTTGTATTACATAAATGATTTGGTACATAAACATGTTACAAAAGGGGGTCACAAATTGATTTACAACTCGTCAGAATCAGCAAATATTAACTACTCGTGATACAACACAGCATGCTACTGGATGTTAATACTATTTTATATAGTAATCCTATTATTTACTGATGCTTGAAAATAATCCAAGAGCAAATATTTATTTAATATAACTTAATTAGAATAATATCTAATAATATAGTATAATGATTTCTTATATTTACGCGAACACTACACATTTTTAAATAAAACTAATTTTACGGATTTTATCGTGTATATTAACTTCTGTATAAACGTCGGGAATATAAAAATAAGTTAATATACGCGATAAAATCCGTAAAATTAGTTTTATTTAAAAATATAGTATAATATATTTAACAAAATACACGCGTACGAATGCCGTGTATTGGTGGAGATACAAGAATCAATTACCCGATATCGTCTCGTGACAGTTATAAGAAGCGACAGTGGGGAATTAAAACATGAGATGGCCAGCAGTATATTCCTGATAACAGTTCAAAATAGTCTCAATTCTACCACTATAATAATCGGACGCTTATAATTAACCCTTTCACAGAGGTTGGGGAGGTATCTCGTACAGCTTAATGTGTTCTCAGCTACGATAGGCGAGAAAACTCATTTTAAAATTATGTGTCGCTTTTTTAAGCCACTAAGGGAAAAACTACTCTCACATACTGAGAGTAAGTACTATGTTTTATACGTGGTAGAGCCATGCTGCAGCTATATTAGTAGTATAGTTGTGGCACGAATGGGTTGGCTCGACCGGGGAAGGACCACGCTCTCACAGAATACCAGCGTAAAATAGCAGCTTAACACTGCTGTGTTTCGTATGGTGAGTGTAGAGAACCGGAGACCCTTTTTACTGGCAAAGAGGCATTCCATCTTAGTCCTCACGGGTGACAACGCATCTGCATTTTGATTCGCAAACGAGGATAAATGTAGATGTCTATGGGCCACAGCAACCACTTAACATCAGGTGGACTGTGTGCTCGTTTGTCACCCTATCCTATAAAAAAAAAAATGTCCTGATCCTGTATCAAATACCTAGTTAAATGTGCATGTATTCATTTATTCTTGTCACTTGTCCCATGAGTGCTTATTTCTACTAACCCGTAATCATGTTATAATTGCGTCATTGCTTCCGTAGAATACAAACAGACAATTTAAAGTACAGTAGGAAAATATTTTTGTTAAAGCAAAGTCGCTTTGTACTAAAATTTTGAATAACTTCCGAAATGTGTTACGACTAGCTACTCGTATAAATACACCACTTAGTGGTATATAACACTTGGTGGTGACAACGTAATCTATAAACCGGGCTTTAAACCTGCTTCTTTAAATCGTTAGAAACACGACAAACCGATTTAACACAATAAGCATGAGATTTACAATACAATAAAATACAATACTCTTTATGGTACACCAAGAAGAGTTAAAAATATCAAAAAGAAAAAAATAAACAACTATTGATGGATATATAAAGGGCGGTCTTATTGCTACATAGCAATTTAGATTTATTTATATATTTCATGAACTGGATAGCTTTATAACGTGTTTGGTGTGAAATTTCGCAAAATATATCCCGCTTTCCGAATATCAAAGCAATACAGGGTTATTTTTCAAAGAGTAGCCGAATTTTAACTTAAGTTCAAATATATAAATAATGATATACCATTATTGCAGTTTTTGAAATACGAGTAACTAAGGCTTCTACTTTTACGTGAAATTATACCAAATTGAATGTGATTTATGGGCAACTACGTTTTTGCCTACCGATCGACCCTTGCGAATGTGTGAAAATTAGTTAAAATAATTAAAGTAAGTAAAAAGTAGAAAAAATAAATAATTACCACGCATTTTGAATTTAAAAGATAAAAAGACAGTATGTGTGAATGTTTTTTTTTTATTAAATTTTCTTCTCTACTTGCCTATATTTCTTATTCTGAGCCTTCTCTGCAAATTTGGCCAGTTATTGCAAAATAATCCTGTATAAATAGTACTGAAGTCGTTTTGTATTACAACGGGTCTGAATTAAATATGTATTAACGACATTACCAACAACTAACTAATGTCAATAACCTAACAAATACATATATTTCGTTTTTCATGTATATATTTATAGTTTATTCGAATCAATTATCATAACGGCTAAACTCGGAAATTCGCAAACACCTAAGCAGGCAAATTCAACTAGCACTTTTGTACTTATAATCTATTGTTAGTTTAAAAAATATTTTTGCAATTTTTAGCGATTGCCTTGCCTTAGTACAGATTTACAAACACTGTTAACTAAAACAATAAATATTTAATTAAGAAGCAGCATACATTTTATCATATAAAAATACATAATAAGTTTATCATACAAGTATGGCAAAATCCCCCATAGATTGCCTCATGGGCCATACTTGTCTATGTTCAGCCGTGGACTTTTAATAGGCTGTAATGATAATTATATAAATGTATCTCATATTTATAAACATATCGACTTTTTTTAAATATTGCATTATTCCAAACTACTCAAACATGTAGTTAAATTAATTTTAAATGGAATAGACAATAATGTTTGTTATTTGTGATATTGTTAATATTTTTTAAAGTAGGAAGTTTTCTTTTAATTTTCTCGAAATCTTATTTGTATACGTGGGGGCTTTTTCGTACAATATAATATATTTCTGCCTCATTCCGTTCTATAATCGTAGTAAACTAAGCGATATGATGTTTTGAATATAATTCACAAATACTTCTTTTTTAATAAAATAAAGGAGTTATTAATTTGTCAGAATTATTAAAATACATCCTTATCGATTAGTTTTAAGTCACTAGAAGCCATATATTTAGTTTCCTTTTTCTTTTAACTCACTGTAATATTTAAAGCGACAATTTGTTTAGGTAGGTAAATCGTAAATAGCAGCAAGCAAAATGCAATATACAACGGATTTAATCGCGTTTAATTTATATTAACTCTTAGCCCAAGCTTCCTGAAACAATATATTGATTTTTTTTGGTAAACACAGGGAAAGTACATAGGGTTAATTATAACATAAGGACATCAAACACTTCAGTGCCTCCCATGACCATAGGCCCAGGGCTAGAAACATCGGAAATGTTGAATAAACTAAACGCAATAAAACCGTACAATATGTATAATGCATTAGTTTATATTTGTATTTTGAACCATTCCCCATCGGAGCAGTTCAAGAGTGATGGCTATTGGATGAGGGGTGAGCTCTGACTATCGCTGAAGTCAAGAGTGTAGTACATGTCCGTGGTGTCCAGTGAGGCCGAGGGTGGGGGCGGCGGTGCGGCCGGCCGCTTGTCCTGCAGCCAGTGGTGCGGCGGACCGGACTCAGCCACGCGGGACAGTCGCGAGAGCAGCCTCGCGTACGTTTTATTGACGCGGCAGTGGCACGCGGTTACCTGGAGAATATATTACAATACTGCGTTGTACATATTACCATCATTACACAGTATGGTGGTGTAGGAGAATACATTGACACCATTTATGTCTTTAGAGGCAGGCAGGGAAATTCCAAAAATCTCGTCTTTTGCTAGACGTAAAACTCCAACTTGGCGGCAGGCAATAGCATCAAAGGCGCTATGCGTCTTGTATTGTGATCGTTAAAGAGGTAGACATCATTAAGAATGTACTATATAGTAGTATCTAAGCCGTGGTATCTCAGATCCTTAACGCTCGCTGTAAGTTTCACAGTACGCGAACAACCCGGGTTCGATCCCCGCCGGCACCAATGAGATTGTTAATTGCAATTTTAAGTGCTACTTTACCTCGTGCTCGGCAGTGAAGGAAAACATCGTGAGGAAATAAGAAAAAATAATATTTCTAAGACATGTGAAGTTCGCCAACATACATTGGGACAGCGCGGCGGATACTTCCTTGCCTTAAAAACCCTCTTAGAAATGTAAGGAGACCTGTGCCCAGCAGTGGAACGTATATATGCTGTAACTTTACTTTATCTAAGGGGGAATATGCTACATTTTTTTTTCAAATACCTTCCTAACCTCCACACGTTCTGTCCTGCTCATTGACGGGCTTGACTAATGACAGAAATTTTATGCAAAAACGCAATCCAAATTAAAGAGATTGACACATGAAGATATCGACCTATCGGCTCTAAAATCAATAGTTCACTTACTCAGCGTGATGAGTATGATCAAACCTCCAAAGTAGTGCTTGTCAGCTGGCTCATTCGTGAAAATCTTTCGACTTAGCGAAACGTCTAATAGATGTTGTGAAAATACCCTATGAAAAGTCGACTAAGAAACATGAGGATGTGCCGTAAACGTCGCGCTTGGCAAGTGCATCGACTATCGCAGTATCACATACTTTGCACCACGCTGCTTTCAGGCGCGAATCTAGTTATTTAAAATCGGACATATACACTAGATGATTATACTATCATTTATCAGAAGTCTCATTTTTCGAGCTGTTCCCTTAGTTAACGACACCTATGGAGGGAAATGAATTGTGGATTCTCTCGCGCCGCCACTAATCGGCAAACTAATTTATTTTATTAATACTTATTTAAATTATCTTTCTTATTTCATCTCGTAATTAAAAAATCAAAGGTCTTACTTCATGACTAACAACATTTTGTCATAATCCGTCCGTATCGATGTGTCTGTGTGAAATGAATGTGAAATGTGTGAATTATTCATAAAACGAAAATGACAAACGAACTTAAGCTCAACCTGATGGTAAGTGGCTACTGCTATTCATGGACATCTGCAGCCAACTTCAAGTAAAGAAGACTAGTTAGGAAAATGTGTTATAACTTCTGCGGACTAAGATGGAATTCATCACAACCTAAATTTATAGTGGCTCTATACAGACAGTAGACAGACAAGTATTGCTATTTGGCGAAAGAATTAATGTGGTATGTTCCCTCAACACCAACTTTCGCGGTTGCAGTTATATTATCATAGTTAATTAACTTTGTACGGGACTTACAACGACGCCAACAATGGCGATAGCGGCGCCAAGAGTCCCGGCAGCAATGTAGACGTTGTGCAGGCGGTCGTGGTACAGACCCATTGGCAGCCGCAGCTCGCGCACCCCGCCCGCACGTACCTCCGTATCACGAATGCTTACATCGCTCACTTCGCCCTCCACCACCGACTCCAAGATAAAGTCCTCTGGAATAAGCATAGAGTATAATTACAAAAGGAATATCATAAACGTTCTAGTATTATTTTATACTCTTCTTTTTTTGTCAATATGTGTCAGAATAGACTAAGGATATCTGCTATGTCGGATTTTTCTAATGCCATTAAATAAAATTTAGCTATATTTATATATCGAAAATAATCGGAGACGATGGTGATCCTCAAATAAGATCACCATTATCTTTATAGCCCTTACAAGCAAAGTACCGTACATAGGCCTCCCAAGGAATGCCATAAAGGTCCTAAGCCATCTGTATCGCCTTCCTGCGTCTTTTATTAGGTCGTCACTCCATCTAGTGGGTTATGACCTAATAAAAGACTACTACTGTATAATGATCACAGATTCAAATAAAATAGATATAATCAACTCCGCATACATATATTAAAGATGGCATTAAAACTTAGAATTTAAGAAAGATGTTAACGAGTTCAATAATGTCTAAAAGGCAGTGATACAAATCTAATTTGACTTACCTTCACACAGTTTACCAGTGTACCCAGGACGGCATGAACAGTAGAAAGAGTTGGGGCTGCTCCAACAAGTACCACCGTGTGCGCATGGGTTATTGTCACAAGGCTGCAAACAATATAAAATAATTTTAACCATAGTTAATAACTATGGTAATAAATATTGATGCCAGTAATTAATATATTATCAGAAGGTATATAAAGGATGTAGAAGGTTAAAGAAAGGATTGTAGAAGAGTGTAAGAGAATCTTTCACCCCCTTTATAGGGGTGCCATAAAAGGCGACTATTGCAAATGCCAGAAGGATCTTAAATCTTAAAAAACGAGAATCAGCGTCATAAGTGTGAGAAGTCTGGTTCTGCAATATTTAATCCGTTGCCAGGTGTGACGATTAAGGCAAATTCATGTTCAGCAATGGACTTTGGAATGAAAACAAAATGTCGTGAGTGTTATGGGCTTTTTTTACTTATTATAAGCCAGTGCTTGACCACAATCCCACCTGGTGGTAAGTGGTGATGCAGCCTTAGATGGTAAATCGCACTGTCTTATCGTAACAAAAGCCTATTCACTCTTGCCTTGACGACGCCCAGATTGTATTCGGACGGAAAGATAGACGCCGGCAAATTATTCCACTCCTTTGCTGTACTTTACTTTTCATCCAATGCTACCTCACCTGTACTCGTCGCACTTTAAGAAAAAAGATCATAAAATTCATTTAAAAATACTGAACCTTATTTGGATGGGTGTGGAAAGCAGCATTACAGAGCAGTGCGAGGGGATCACCTCCGCGCTAACCAACCTGCTTGCCTAGTAATGCTGCGTATTGTTTGCGAGTAACTCTTCCAAGTAATGTTAACCAGGTGGCCTGTTTGCAAAGCCAATACAATTACAGCCTTTGAAACATTTCATCTTAGCCCTTAGAGCTTAAAACGCACCTGCAGGATTCTACGTTTTAAGACGATGGCAGATGTCCATGATAATGTAGATAGCAAGTAGCTTTTGCCATGGAAATATATTGGTGGAGGTCCTCGATTAAGAATCAAAATGCAAATGTTTTTGATTCTTAATGCAGATTTATACATACGTTTAAACTTAGTATAATTTTTCACACTTTTTATCTATGAATTTGTTTGACTGTATTCGCTCTTATTAATAACCAATATAAGTTCTTTAAATGAGGCGTTAACTTATCTTTACAACGGGGTTAACCAAGTTCCTTTCTATAATTGATGACGCTGGTAGAAAAGTATAATATGTTATAAATATTTAAGGTACAACAAAATGCAAATAAATAGAATAAATAAGTGAAATTTAAAAAAAATACCTCGTTTTTTTATCATACTCTTCTATCATAATATTCAAAATTTCAAGTTTCCACCTAATCGGGGAGTTACTTTAAAATCAGTTACAAAATTCCACCCAGAACGACAGACAAACAAGAGACTTAATAAAAACGGGGTAAAATAATTTAGAGTGACACATCTCTACGTTTAGTTACATGACATTCACGTGACTATTGTTGCTTTAATTCACTTTTATAGTTTTCTATTAGCGACTAGCGATCCGCTCCGACTTCGCACGTGTGATTTATGAATCTCGACAGCAGCGCCATCTACCGGGTCCAGTTGTGAATCGCTTAGATCATCCAGGAACCCACTCAAACGTACACGAAAAATTTAATCAAAAGACTCCACTGTCCGTCCGTCCGTCCGTCCGTCTGTCTATCAGCGGGCTGTATGTCATGATCCGTAATAGGTAGACAGTTGAATTTTTTTTAATGTGTATTTCTGTTGCCGCTATAACAACAAATATTAAAAACAAAAATAAATTAAAAAGTAAAGGGGGCTCACCTACTAGAAACGTGTATTACGATAGTACAGAACCCATCATGCGCGAGTCCGACTCGCTCTTGGCCGGTTTTTTACGGCCGAGACTAACGAACAGCAATTGATTTTTATATATAGAGATAACGATTGAGGAATGTCAACTTAGCAATCGCGCCAGAATGTATACTACAATGAAATATTGTAAAAGAAAGTGAAAAGAGAAAAAATCTTCAGCGTTACAAGCACAATTGAATGAACGATCCAAGACACAGAAAATAAGATATTATTACGATTGACCGACGACGACATAACATCTTGACAAGGCGCTTTTATGCAAGTAGATCTTATTCTTCATCCTTATTAACCTGTAACTGTTTACTGCTGGACATGGGGCTTTCTCTACCATCTAGCATATACAAGGAGGTTAACAATATACCGCCATCTATGATCTGTGAGACCTCTCTGGCTCCTCCCATAGTCACATCTTTCAACACCTACGGGTACGAATGTGCAATGCGCGTAGATGCGAAACAAAATAAATCAAAAACTTATTTTGTATACGTGTGTGTGCTAAAAACACCTACATCATTTACAAATAGGAACCGAAATTAAAATGAGATGTGTTCACACTACCAAGAATTAAACTGAAACGCTTTCTAGTCAGAACAAAGAGTCTACTGCTACTGAAACTACTACTGAAACACAGCCGCGATATTATATTTTAAAAAAAGCAATATACTGCTATTTTACGTTTAATTCTGTAACAGCGTTATCCTTCCCGCTCAAGCCAATCCATTCGTATTGGAGCCATAATACAGAACAGATGAGGCGTGGCTCTATAATCAATAACTTATAGATTGCTATAAACCCGTGTACCTATGGACTGCCTCAAGATAATAGTGACGACTTACGAATTTGTATACCGAAGTCATTCAATAGTGTTTAAAATAAACGACCTTTACACAAATAATCAATAAAGAAAGAGTCTTACCGATCTAGATGGCGTATTGCAATCTATGCACTCACAGGTGTACGTATTTCCGCGGTCCACACAATAGCGATTGTCCATGCAAGGGTTTGGCGAACACAAGTTCACCTGGAAATATTAAATATACTCGAGTCATGCATTCATCGTCAACGTCGTCGACAATTCATAAAAGTTCTCCTGCCTCTTCCGTTAACGGCAGCATTTGCCTTAATTACCACGCTTGCCAGGAGATTGGCGACCACATCATAGTAATAGTTTATATACATTTTATATATAAATATATATATTTTATTTGATTATGTCTATAATTGTATATCTTCATGAGTTTACATACATCTGACGTTTTAATATGTACTTAAGTAATATACATTTTTATTATCTTATTATTTTTATCATAATTTATTTTATAAGTATATATATATATATATATATATATATAATATTTTTTATTAACATTTATATCTTATGTATTTTATTTCGATGTGCTACAATTTTTTTTTGTTATTTTAGTTTAGTATTAACATATTACCTTTTTATTACTCCTACTTCATTATATCTCTGCATCATCCCAAGGTAGACTGGTAGAGAATGCCTTAGGCATTAAGTCCGCCTATATACCACATGTGTATATGAAGTTTTAAATAAATAAATAAATAAATGTCTCAAGCTTTTGATGCTGTTACTCAAAGCAGATCTGGATATTTTACATTTAGCAAAAGAAGGATGATTATACTTGAAAGCGTTAAGAATAATCTTTCTGACAATTTTTATAATAGCCTCGTATCACACCCACGGAAAGAAATGCAATAACTTACGCCGCCATAACATTAACCAATGTAGTAATTATCTTTATTATAGTTAACATCAAGGGAAAATCTAATTCCAATGTTGAATAGTAAGCATACATTTCTCATACACTTTAATAGATATTCGTAGTCGTATACATATTCATTTATTTATTTAACACTTTTGTACTTTAGGTACAAACGGCGGACTTACAGCCATAAGGCATTTTCTACCAGCCAATTTTCTATTATACGTCGGCGTTCCGTTTACTAACTGAACGTATTCTGAACGTCGAATAGGCTATTGTTATCTAGTGTGTTCATTCTGTGTGACAGGTTTTACGACATATTCGAAACGAGATGGGATTATAGATTATTTTACGCTGTCAGTCAACGCTCTGTACATAATATGCCTAGTATAGAGCTATACAGTCTCTTATCTGTTTTTTTAAATCATGTAAATCAAGAAATATTATATATATATATTCTTGACCGCCGTGTAGTGGCGGTCAAGAATATCCACTACCCCATATCCTCCCGTGGGTGTCGTAAAAGGCGACAAAGGGAAACAGGCAGGAGATGGGCAGCAGCATCTTCCTGATAATAGCCAAATTACAATAAAACTGCGGTTGCCAACCCGCTCGCCAAGCGTGGCAACTATGGCAAATACCCCCCTATGAATGACAGTAACAAAGAAACGGCCCCCAGTCCCCGGCGGCCCCGCTATTCCTGGCTACGGTGGCGACCATGGTAACGGCGGGGCAGGGGGTGCTAAGAATCTCCGGTGGAGGTTCGGTTGCCACCTTAGACGACTCGACCTGGCAACGTACAACGCACGCACCCTGAGGACTGACGAGAAGATCGTGGAGCTGGAAGAAGAGATAGACAAGTTGCGCTGGCATATTATAGGATAATCCGAAGTCCGAAGAGAGGGGGAGGACACGGTAATCCTCGAATCCGGCAACTTGCTCTATCACCGAGAGGGCGACCATCTGTCCCAAGGAGGTGTCGGATTTATCGTCCACAAGTCTCTCGTTAACAACGTTGTAAAGATCGGGAGTGTGTCGACGAGGGTTGCGTACCTTATACTCAGAATCACCAAACGGTATTCGCTGAAGGTCATACAGGTTTACGCACCAAACTCGGCACACCCCGATGAGGAGGTGGAGGAAATGTATGAGGATATCTCTAGAGCCATGCATTCCTCCAAAACCCAATATACGGTGTTAATGGGAGACTTCAATGCAAAACTAGGCACAAGAGAGAACGGTGAGCTGAAAGTAGGGAAATTTGGAATAGGGCGACGGAACCCAAGGGGCCAGCAGCTGGCCGACTTCATGGAGAAAGAGGGACTCTTTATGATGAACTCTTTCTTCCAGAAGCGGCCCCACAGGAAGTGGACCTGGTCGAGCCCCGACGGTTCCACAAAAAATGAGATTGACTTCATTATGACGACCAGACGACAACTGTTCAGTGATGTCTCCGTGATCGCGAGGGTGAAAACTGGTAGCGATCACCGAATGGTTAGAGGCACACTGAACCTAAACGTTAAGTTGGAGAGGTCTCGTCTAATGAAGTCAACGCTCCGTCCCCCTCGTGCTCTGTTTCAAAGTCCCGAAACCTTTCAGCTCGAGTTACAAAACCGTTTTCAGTGCCTGGAAGACTGCAATGAAGTGGACGATATGAATGACAAGCTCGTGGAAACTGTCCATGCGGTCGGAGGTAAGTTCTGCAAGACCCGCCGCAGAAGAACACAAAAACTCTCCGATCACACTCTTAATCTCATGGCTGTTAGACGGGAGATGAAGCTGCATTCTTCAACAGACTTGACAGCATACAGGCATCTGAACAGACAGATCTCCAAATGCATGCGGCGGGACTTACGCAACTTCAATACAGCTCGTATTGAAGAAGCGATCGAGCGGAACCAAGGCTCCAATGTCTTTGCCAGAGATCTGTCTGCCAGAAAGAGCCAACTGTCAAAGCTGAAGACAGAATGTGGCAGCATCGTTTCCGGGACACCTGAGATTTTGAGTGAGATTGAGAGGTTCTATGGGCAGCTGTACACATCATCGTTGGAGCCACACGCAAGTGTGAGTAACGATCCAAGAGCGAGTCTCATCCGACACTATTCCGAAGATATCCCGGATGTCAGTCTGAGCGAGATTAGGATGGCTCTCCAGCACCTTAAAAACGGTAAGGCCCCAGGCGAGGATGGAATTACAGCGGAGCTTCTGAAAGCGGGTGGAAGACCGGTACTTGAAGTCCTTCAGAAGCTCTTTAATTCTGTCCTCCATGGTGGCATTACACCGGAGGCGTGGAGCAGAAGTGCGGTGGTCTTGTTCTTCAAGAAAGGTGACAACGCTCTCTTGAAGAACTACAGACGGATTTCCCTTCTGAGCCGCGTCTACGTGCTGTTTTCGAGAGTCATTACGAATCGTCTCGCGCGCAGACTTGACGACTTCCAGCCTCCCGAACAAGCCGGTTTCCGAAAAGGCTTTAGCACCATAGACCACATACATACCCTTCGGCAAGTTGTACAGAAGTCCGAAGAGTACAATTTGCCACTATGTCTGGCGTATGTGGACTATGAGAAAGCCTTTGATTCCGTCGAAATTTGGGCGGTGCTGCAGTCCCTTCAGCGGTGCCAAGTTGACTGTCGGTATATCGAAGTGTTGAAGTGCTTGTACAGTAGGGCTACGATGGCTATCCGAGTACAGAACCAGAATACGAAACCTATCCAATTGCAGAGAGGTGTAAGACAGGGTGACGTCATATCCCCGAAACTCTTCACCGCTGCATTGGAAGACGTTTTCAAGCTTCTGGACTGGAAAGGATACGGTATCAACATCAATGGCGAGTACATCACTCACCTTCGATTTGCCGACGATATAGTCCTTATGGCAGAATCGCTGGAGGACCTAAGCACTATGCTCAATGACCTCAATAGTGTTTCCCAACGGATAGGTCTTAAGATGAACATGGACAAAACAAAGATCATGTTTAATGTCCATGTCACACCTATGCCGGTAGTTGTTGGGAGCACTAAGCTCGAAGTTGTTGACGAGTATGTTTACCTGGGACAAATAGTCCGACTAGGTAAGTCCAACTTCGACCGAGAGGTCAATCGACGGATTCAACTCGGCTGGGCAGCGTTCGGGAAGCTACGACACATCTTCTCGTCAGACATACCTCAAAACCTTAAAACGAAATTGTACAACCAGTGCGTGTTGCCAGTGATGACTTACGGAACTGAGACGTGGTCCTTCACTGCTGGCCGTATGAGGAAGCTCAAGGTCGCTCAGCGAGCTATGGAGAGGGCTATGCTCGGAGTTTCTCTGCGTGATAAACTTAGGAATGAGGATATCCGCAGTAGAACCATGAGTGACCGACATAGCCCAACGGATTAGTAAGCTGAAGTGGCAGTGGGCCGGCCATATAGCTCGAAGAACCGACAACCGATGGGGAAGAAAGGTTCTCGAGTGGCAGCCTCGTACCGGTAGGCGAAGTGTAGGGCGTCCCCCACGAGATGGAGTGACGACCTGGTAAGACATGCAGGAAGTCGATGGATGCAGGTGGCTCAGGACCGTGCTTTGTGGCATTCTTTGGGGGAGGCCTATGTTCAGCAGTGGACTTGTGAAGGGCTGTAATGATGATGATGATGATGTAAATCAAGAAACTGATGATAAAAGATGATGACGACTTCACATTTTACATGCATTAGATTTTTTCTTTGACATGCTTATTTCTTCATGTTAAGTGTTATTGCTTACCGTCCTGAAAATTTTAAATTAACACTTCAATTAACGCATCTAACTCGTTTTGCTCGCGTACAATCAAATTTTATTAAGTGATAAGTACTAAAGTGGTTTTATTTTTGTCTAAAATTCCACCTGTTTTGTTAAGTAAGTTTGTAAGGTAAAAGAGACAGTATAGTTACGAGTATAAGCTGTGTGGCATTTCATCGTAGTCCTCAGAGTTGACAACGAATGCATACATGTTTCAATATCCTTCTTCGTTTGAAGTGGTCACATATACCCATGGACTAAAGTAGTCACTCACCGTCAGATGTATTCTGAGTTCGTTTATCAATTCAATTTACTAATAATTAAAAATTAAAAATTTTATACAGCCGACTTCAATATATATATTATTAAGAATAATTTGATCAAATTCATATGGAACCACATGTGAAGTACCAGCTTACAAATAAAAAAGAATCACCGAAATCGGTTCACCCCGTAAAAAGTAATGGGGTAACAAACATAAAAAAACTTACAGTCGAATTGAGTACCGGTCTCCTTTTTGAAGTCGGCAGAAAAAAGACTGCGCTTACGAGTACTATGAAATTATTACCTTTATAACTAAGTGGTAGTGAAGGAAAACATTGTACAAATCTTCCTCGTGTTAGAGTAAAATAACAAAAAATATTTTACATATTTTGAAAACATGTACATAAAACAGTTTTTCATAACCTTATTGCGCAACAAGGAAGTTAATTCCATGAGAACTTAACAATGCCATGCTGAGAATAAGCACCTGAATTGATATATTTCTTACTCATATTCTTCTGTTGTTAATGTACTACAGTTCCGTTTACAATAATAAATTTAATAAAAAAATCCTAGAGGTCCTTTTCTGGCTTGTCTGCTGAGTAGGTGTCACCATCTTTCTTTCATCCTTTCTCGTAATAAAAAAACAGGTCTTTATGTCTGGTATCAAGTATTCATGTAGCAGTAGCCATCTACCATCGTGTCCCCTGTTCACTCGTTTATCACTTTAGTATGTAAAAAAATTAAGTTTGTATTTTAGAATTTTAAAACTAGAATGTTGAATGTACCTTGAGCTGGCACGTGTTGCCGGCGTACCCTCGGCCGCACGTGCAGAGGAACCCGCCCACGCGATCTGTGCACGTGCCTCCGTTCATGCACGGAGACGATTCACACTCGTTATACTCCAACTCACATCGCTCGCCCGTGTATCCTGAACAAAATGTTAGGATTTTCAATATTTGTAATTGTGAAATATTTTCTTTAAAGCAATTCCAGATAAATACTTTTATATATATTATGATATTTTATATGTAATATATTTTAGAGAGAGAGTCACACTCTATATATTTTACGGCTGCATCACGAATACATCAGCTCGACCAATTCAGGACAACGCTCTCACAAAATACCAGCATAAAATGGCAGCCATGTAATATGGTGAGTGTAGAAAATCTTTTTTTTTTTACTGAAACCGTCTTAGTCTTCAGGGGTGTCAACGCATCTACATTTTAGTTCTTAACCGAGGGCTAGAATGAACATTTCTGTGGGTCACAGCATTCACTTACCATCAAGTGGACTGTGTGAACATTTTTCACCCTTATTTTATTAAAAAATACTAATACAAAGAAAAATTTAACAATTGATCTGAATGAGAAATCCATTTGACTTAAGTTAGAATTTAACCTTGGTTGAATGGTCTAAGAGAAAAATAGGTAAATTGTTTTCTAGCAGGACTAAATTTATTAGTTTTATCAAATTTGCTAAACTAGACTTTCACTAGACGACACGTTTAGGCAATATAAAACGAAGAGAGGCACGGGCAACCTTCCAACTACGTTTCAAATAAGTCAGCCGCAATTTCGCTCCGCCGACTTCGACTACAATACAACCGAAGTACTATTTCTAATTCTTTAACTTTTTCCACATGAATAATTCAAATGTGGACATTTTATGAACGAATACAAGAAAATATGTATTCGTAGAAGAATATTTTGTCTTTTTTTGTCATAAACTTAACTGTTGAACGACATGCCACGAAAAATGAATTTTTAGTTAAATTTTATCCTCTTTTTCATCAGCCCGTAAAAGTCCAATGCTAGATAAAGGCCTATCCCGTTGTAAAGAAGACTTGCCTTAAGAGCCAGAAGAGATGGTAAAGTCGCTATCTGTCGGAGGCCATAAAATCTTATTGACATCTCTCATAAGTCACCTCTCGCGACAACCACGAGACAAAATGGGGTATTTGATTCTCCTATGCCGCCACCACATGACAACAAAGGTTGTCTTGATATTTTAAAACATTGGTCCGATTGCGTGTTGGAATTCAAGTTAGAGTTTCGCTATGCACATTATTTTTCTTTTCTACCGACTTGAAACAGGAGGACGTATTCAATTCGCCTGTATGTTTTTTTAATGTGTGTTACCTCATAATTTATTCTGGGTGAAGCGATTTCGATGATTCTTTTTTATTTGAAAGCTGGTGTTTCACTTGTGGCCCGATATAAATTTGATTAAGATCTGACCAATAGTTTTTGAGTTATTGTTAATAATTTAGATTGTAGTCGGTTGTACAAAATTTTTTATTTTTAATTATTTATGTTGAATAACCTATACAGTATTCATTATAATTATAATGGAGACTATTTGTATATGTAAGAGCCAATTTTCAGATCTATATCCAAGTTTTTGATTGTTTTAAACAAAAAAAAATATTTATTTACTTTGAAATCTTCAAGAGAACACCTTAAATTAAAGCGTAAATAAAATGGATATTCACTGCTAATCAACCATCCGAGAATAAAGCAGGTTGGCAGGTTCAAAACGTTAAAAAAAGAAAAATGAAAGTAGTACACATTTTAAAATAGTACTATATAAAAATATATAAAAAATAATACACTTAATACTGCTCAAAATAATTAAAAAAAAACAGAGGTTGCCAACCTGCCTGTCAAGCGTTGCAACTATGGCAAATATCCCACCTGTGAAACAATCTATGGGAGACGCTTATGTTCAGCAGTGGAATTTAGTATCTATTATATATAATAAATCTATAGAAAAATTGTATGTTCACGATTCTCACAAAAACGACTAGACTAGGATCTAGGATTTCTAGAAAATTTGGTATGTAGGCAGTAAATGATCGTATATTAATATATAGGCATTTTTTCATCCGCTAACGGAAGAATAAAAAATATTTTTTTAAAGTTTATTTTCATAATGGCTTCTGATAGTTCTGTTAGTCATAAAGAGGATTTAGCTATACGTATAAAAGTCTTAGCGAAAATGTGTGAAAATGAAACTCATCGTACCACCAACCAGAAATGGCAGAACGTCTGCCGGTCTAGCCAGTTTTGAATATGAATACTGAAATTATACTAAGTACTACTTGATATGAAAAGATACATTAAGAAATGTACATAAAATGTAATTATATCTGGTTTTTGGCGGGAACTTGACCGGCGGTGGATTGCTACTCCTGTATTATTGTTTAAATAATGGTTTAAAGTGGATTTGGATATGCAAAAGTGGTGCGATTTTGTGTACTATGTGTCTGCGCATGTGAACTATTAGTGGAAACGGTGAAACAAGTGTTCTGATGGTGATGTGATTCTCAAGATAAGATGTAGATAAGATGATACTATGAAGGATAATTATACTTCAGGCTCAGAAGGGCTAGAACCTAGAGCCGTAAAGTCAGTTATGAAAAAATAACTATATCTATTTTTAATTATTATACACCATCCACCAGCTTGACTACAATCGCACCTGATTAAATTCATCAGTTTTTATTTAATCTTTAATTATAAAAATTACGTGTCACGTTGTTTGTCCTCGATGAACTCCTAAACTACAGGACTGATTTCAATGAAATTTTGCACACTCTGTGCAGTTTGGTCCAACTTGAGAGATAGGATAGTTTTTATACTGATAAGTGACACTCAATATTTTTTTATTACGAATTTAAGGATTTTTTATATGAAGGGTCGTCGAAAAGGGCAGGTCAACGTCTGCCAGGCCAGCTAGTTATAACTGCGCTAGCACTTCTTACTAGTTTGTGGTTATAACATAAATTAAAATATATTTTTAGATTTTAATTTATGTTATATGAATCGGATTGCCGTTTAATATCAGTTTATTAAAAATAATTGTAAACTCGATGTTAGCTTACGCAATTGCAATCGGTAAAGTATCTTTTTAATGTTTTCTTAGACACTAGATATTTCAAGTATTGGATATTGAAATAATTAGCCAAATTATGGATGGTATTACTGAGTCAATTGCACATCAAAACTTACTGGCTTCAAGTGGACTGCGCTCCCCATAAACATTGTATGGAATTTGAGTACATTGATTTTTTGGTCGGTTTTTCGCCATCAGTCGGTCGCACCTCGGCTGACAAGAAGCAGTAGCGCGCATTGCGTGCACTGGACATTTGGGGGAAAATGGCATTTTTCACGAAGCACCATTTCAAGATTAACAATAATTTATAATGAGAAATACCACCGTCTTACATGTTTCTAACACCTAGCAACAGTTGTTGTATTTTGCATTTTGTTGTTGCATTACAAATTCACTTCTAAACATAGGTTCCCTATAGATTGTCTAGTGGGGGTGACATTTGCTATAGTTGAAACACTTGACAGGCGGGTTAGCGAAAGCAATTATTTTAGTTTGCCCATCTCCTGCTTCAGTTTCCCCCTGTCGCCTCATAAGACATCTACACCTATGAAATGGTATTAGTATAGACTTAGATTTTTCTAAGACTACGAATTTTCTACCATCTTTGTCGTCACAGGTGACAACACTTTCAGCCTATTTCTTTGAAGTTAGCTGCAGGTTTCCATGAGCTGCAGTGGTCATTTAACGTAATGTAATTTTGTGTGGTAAAGTCACGCTGCAGCATGATGGCTGCAGCACATAATTGTCGGTTGGAACTTAGTAAGACCACGCTGGAAATACAGCGTGAAATAACAGTATATTGCTCCTATGCTTTGTATGATGAGTGCCGAGAACTGAAGACCGTCTTTACTGATAACAATCGTCCGATGCTAAGTGCATGAAGTGGACTTTGTGTTTGTTTGTCATAGAAGTAAGCTGTAATAAAGGTGGACTACATGCATATTCGTCACTACAGTGTTTTTAAAACATGTTTGCTTTTTACGTTGATAGTTTACTGAAAATATAAATTGACTGACATGTATCTAAGAAAAATATTGTAATACATAAACTTACCAGGCTCGCAGAAACATCGGTAGTTCTGGCCATCGTGGGTGCTTGTCTGTTCAACACAGATGCCGTTGACGCAGGGTTTGGCAGCGCAGGCCTCGCTGATGGGCAACTCGCACTGTGCGCCTGTCCACCCAGCAGCACAAGCGCAATGGAACGTCGTAGATCCGTTTACAGACATGCTCATGCATGATCCACCATTGGAACATGGCGTCGAATAACAAGGATCCTTCTCACATTTTCTACCAGTAAATCCTGCGTTAGAAGAATTTAGTTCGCGACGAAAATGTAATAATGGTGATATAGTTAAAACTATAAACTTGCTACCACAGCATTCTTATTCTATCGAAATGAATCTATCGATGTTTCTATTCATAAATCCATTAAAACTCTTCATAAGTCTACTGATAGAGGTCTCCCTTAAGGAATGCCACAAAATACGGTCCTGAGTCCTGAATCCTTCGACTTCCTACATGTTCTGTCAGGTCGACACTTACTAAGAGCCGTCCGTGCCGAGCTGTAACACTTCGCTTAACGGTACGAGGCTGCCACTTTTAGAGAGAACCTTTATTTACTTCTTTTTTCTTTCTTTCGTCACAAATTAATTATATTTAATCTAATTTAACATTATTATAGTTCATCTAAAATATCTTATGTGACTGTTAGTAAAAGTAACAAATCCCTAGATAAATTACGGGACGCACGTTTCTACGTGTCTTCCGTAGCACGGCGGTAAAGCCCTCGTAGTAGATTCCATCTAAGAGGTCACCTACATTTGTAACTTGCAGTAAACATTACTTATCGCATTCAGACGTTTAACCGTCATAAAACCATGCCGTTATCAGCTCTTCTATATAACAGTTATTCGTATAGGGGTTGAATAAAATTATAAATTTTTAAAAACCGTTTATCGTCGTTTCCATCTTTATATTTATACAAGGATTTAAAATTCAAATAAATTAAAGGTTATAGATAAAAAAGTGGTTCTGGCGTGAATCGAAATTATATTGCTAACATAGGTACTATAACATTTACAACCATTGTTTAGCAGCTGAGCTACCACAGATATTTAGCATCGTTTGAATGATAAAAATGATGTTTTTGATGACAGGTTGCATGCATGAATACAACGAATACGAGTACTATAAAAATAGTCTTGTCATACCGCGCATCATGTTCTATCGCAAAAAGTGTGCGCATAAACACAAAGAACAAAGATATTCTTTTCTATATAGTCCTTAATCTATTGTATCCGACGTAACACTTAAGCAATAACGTAGCTAGCCTCTGGTTTTTCTACAGTATTCTACGCTATACCATTTTCGATTACGTCTTCATTTACCGTCCCGGGGGCTAGTAGTCAACATGCACGGAATTATTAATATTTACCTAGGGAAACATAATAAAATTTAATCGCAGCGCCCTAGAAAAGAAAAGAAACACAATCAATAAAACCTATAAAATATTATTTGATTTTTTTAAACGTTCACTCCGATTATGTTGAGGTTTTTGATCTTTGAACTACGTTAGAATTTTTAAATAGAAAACTTATACACACATTAAAATTTTACCGCACTTCTTAGCAATAATAGCCCTATTTACCCTTTAATGTATGCAAACGCGCCTATTTCTTATCCGGGAGGAAGAAATAATATTTGTAAAATGTAAATTCATTCATACATATCTAAAGCGTACCCTACCCTATAATCATAGTTTATATACTAGAAACCTATAATAGAGATAAGCGTTATGAGCGCGCCTCTGCATATTACTTATTAAAAGACACGTAGCTGTTGCTAATTTGTGATAAAGCATCGTCGCTTGTTATATAAATTCAAAGGAGGCCAAGTAATGCAATAATGAAAAGTCAAAGGTGAATGAAAACATTTAATCTATTTTGCTAAATAAATTATTCAGCTTGAAATATTTGAAAATTATTTGATTGTGTCATGTATGATAAGAAATTTGTCTATAACCAATTATGATGAGTGCAAGCAATAGTACCTACAGCTATTTTACGCTGGTATTCTGTGAGAGCGTGGTCCTTCCCCGGTCGAGCCGACCCATTTGTACTACAGCCTGTGCCACGTGTAAAACTTACTTTCCGGAATGTGAAATTTATCAATGTTTCTTCCACTATCACAATGTCATACACAGTATTTGAACGTCCGTGATCATTATTTATTTTATTACAAAATCAACTCAAACCACTCCAACCATTTTTGTTCTGGGGTAAGTTAATAAAGAATCCAGAGACAACAGAGTAAAATTCTAAGTTTTAAATGTTGATCAAAATTTTATGAATACCAATTGAAGAATAATTGAAGCAAAAACGGTGACACATAAACATTATCTATGAAGAGATTCGAGTACATTTGTGTATTACACAAATGTACTCGAATCTCTTCAAAGTTATCACATTTTCTTTTTTCTCGCAGTTGAGGGTCGACCTTCACGATATTAACAGTTTCCTTTGTTTTTAAAAATATAACATTCCAAATTTAAACATTTATGAGCGGTCAGAAGCGTAGAGCTTTCAGTGTAACCTACATATAATACAAAAAAATATTTGAACCCTTATAAAAAGGAGATATTACTCCCTAAAGTTACATTGTCTATTACAGCCTATGAAAGTCCGCTGCTGAAGATATAACTCCCTCATAGATTACCGCAAAGGGGGGATTTCACCATAATTGCCATGCTTAGCAGGTGGGTCGGCAACTGTATTTTTTTATGAATTTGAGTTGTAATCAGAAAGTTGCTGCTTCCCATTATATTATATAAATATATATTAGATTGCTACTTGGAAATGCGAGACACTTTTATATGTGAAAAAACCAGAATATAAGAAAATAACTTAAAACGAAACGCAAAATTCAAAAGTCTTGTAAAAACAATAAACAAACTAAGGCCGATATTACATTTACGAACATGTTATCGCCGCAAGTACGCCGTTACGGCGCGCGGCGGTCCTTTCCTATTATTATCGCATATTATTCGTACTTTCGTGACAGCAACACTGCTTTTATGACGACTATATTAAAATCGAGTACCCGCCGTTTTACTTTCGCGCCCATAGTTTCGCGACAATACTTTAGCAAATATAAAAAATAAGTAAGCCTCTTCTATTGAATCAGTTTCAAATCTGCGATCAACATTTTCTCCTGTGTAGTTTCTTTTTTAATAATAAAGATAATCATTTAAATGATCACGTTGACGAAGATCACATGTAATAAAACTGAGCGCGGTGCCATTTTTCTCAACTGGAGAAGAAGAAGATAAGCGAAAATAACTTGTTTTTCACACGAAAACGTTTTCAACGCATATTTCAAAACGACAAAAGTACTGTAGCTGAGATAATCACTTTCGCGATGATATATTCGTAAATGTAGTATCGATTTCGTTCGAAAATACGCTCAATTATATAGTATAACTTTATTTTCTACTAGCGACCCGCCCCGGCATTGCCTGGATAAGATATAATTAATGTAGCGTTATTTAGATGTAAGATAATTAATCAAAGATCATTTATTTAACAAAATGTTCATTTTTTGCCAAAATAAATCTTCAAGTTTTTCAGATAAAATACAGCCTGTATGAAGTTTCATCACAATCGGTCCAGCCATTCCGAAGATTAGCCCAGACAGACAGACAGACATACGGTTTTTTAAAATGGTTATTTATATCTTAACAGCATCCAAATAACCATCTGAGCTTAGAAGCTAGTTATTTCAATATTACATACAGACACTTCAACTGTATTTATACGTGTTTGGAAAAAAAACACAAATGTAAGATAACGAAAACAAAATAAGATACATAATATATTTGTACCATAAGGACAAAGACAGTGATAGTTGGCCCCGTTGAGAGGTTGTGTCAGGTCGACACATATGCCATTATTCAGGCAGGGTAATGGATTACACGCATCTCTCTCCTCGCAGTGCGGTCCCACGTAGCCGCGGCAACACTGGCACTCGTAGCCCTCCTGCAATAGCAACGCATTAATTATTCTGTCAGCAATATATAGAGGCGGTAAAAATTTCTATGCTTTTATTTTTTTAATCTGACTAAACAATTGATATGAACCAGTAGCCAAAGCATAATAATTTTGCACGAATTAGTTGATAATTTCAAAAACATAAAAACAATAAAATGACAGGTTACAATAAAATTACATTTCACTCTGGCCCAGGCCTATTGCTAAAAGGATACGGAACACCGCGTTGCTTCAGTGCGAGTTGGCGGCTTCGCGACATGACTTTGGAACTTCCTTTCTTAAGGTCCAACGTTCCAATATAATCTACGTTCAAATCATGGTGAATATTAATTTCACCTAATTTGCCTTGTACGTATCCTTAATAATAAATAAGGGCTATATAGACATCTCAGTATGTAGTTCACACCTTACAAATTACATCGTAAGTTATCAGATTTATTTTTATATGATACAAAAATATTAAATTAAACAAGTAAATCAGCTCACCATGGAAACGTTTGTATAACATACACCTTTTCCAGAACATTCTTGCGATTCGCCACAGTTATCAGATTTCACTGTTACTTTTAAACGAACGCATCGTGAACCCCAGTTCTCAGACACGACTGCAATTACAAAAATCTCAGTGTATCTATATTTCTTACTTATTTAACAGTAAAATATGCAAAGATTGTTCCATGAAAACCTACGAATAAAAATCAAAAACAGAAAAACATTGCATGTTAAGGGGAAACAAAAATGTGAAGACAATAAAACTATCGTTATTCCTTCGCTCCTTCCTTCCGCTTGTACCGGCATCACGCACATTTTGTTTCCCCGTGAATCTGCTTTATTTATCATTCCAATGAAACGAAATAAAAAGATTAATGAAATGTTTTTAACTTCTTTCTAAATTAACCTAATTCTAGTTCAATGACATGCGTATTTTACCTCCATACATATACATAGATACAAAATATTATTTATATACGTAGTAAAGTAAAACCCCGCTTTACAAATCGATGTACAATCTAAACTAAACATTGAAGATCCATTTATTAGTTTTGCATAATAATAAGAAAAAAATTAATAAAACTTTTCAATTTTAAGAGACTGAATTAAAAAAAGAACATACAAAGAAAATAAACACGCAACAGGAATTCTTGGCCTTTTTTACCTATTAGTAAATTAACGCCTTCAGTAAGATCTTTGTCATAAAGTGTAAAGAGTTTGGCTCCATTTTCGTCAAGCGGAGTGATATCGAGCAGCATTCCATCTGATACATCGCAGTGAAGATGCCCTTGACGCGTCACCTGGTATACGGCCGGCTGAAGTAGTGTGTGATGTGTCCTGGAAAACAACTCTTGCATGAATGAATCTGTGAAATGGACCAACGAGCATTGAGAACTGAATGAGGCATGGGTCAGTGGATTATAAAGCAATTACGATATATATATATAGGTCAATATATTTTCCCTGCGTTATTTTACTTATTTTTACTTGCCGTGTAGTGGCGGTTAAGAATATCCACCCCATATTTTCCCGTGGGTGTCGTAAAAGGCAACAAAGGGAAACAGGCGGGAGATGGGCAGCAGCATTTTCCTGATAACAGCAAAATACAATTAAAAAAAACTGCGGTTGCCAACCTGTCCGCCAAGCGTGGCAACTATGGCAAATACCCCCCTATGAATGTAACAAAGAGACGGCTCCCAGTCCCCGGCGGCCCCGCTATTCCTGGCTACGGTGGTGACCATGGTAATGACGGGGCAGGGGGTGCTAAGAATCTCCGGTGGAGGTTCGGTTGCCACCTAAGACGACTTGACCTGGCAACATACAACGCACGCACCCTGAGGACTGACGACAAGATTGTGGAGCTGCAAGAAAAGATAGACAAGTTACGCTGGCATATTATAGGATTATCCGAAGTCTGAAGAGAGGGGGAGGACACTGTAATCCTCGAATCCGGCAACTTGCTCTATCACCGGGAGGGAGACGATCTGTCCCAAGGAGGTATCGGATTTATCGTCCACAAGTCTCTCGTTAACAACGTTGTAAAGATTGAGAGTGTGTCGACGAGGGTTGCGAACCTTATACTCAGAATCACCAAACGGTATTCGCTGAAAGTCATACAGGTATACGCACCAACCTCGGCACACCCCGATGATGAGGTGGAGGAAATGTATGAGGATATCTCTAGAGCCATGCATTCCTCCAAAACCCAATATACGGTGTTAATGGGAGATTTCAATGCAAAACTAGGCATAAGAGAGAACGGTGAGCTGAAAGTAGGGAAGTTTGGAATATGGCAACGGAACCCAAGGGGCCAGCAGCTGGCCGACTTCATGGAGAAAGAGGGACTCTTTATGATGAACTCTTTCTTCCAGAAGTGGCCCCACAGGAAGTGGACCTGGTCGAGCTCTGATGGTTCGACAAAAAATGAGATTGACTTCATTATGACGACCAGACGACAACTGTTTTCAGCTCTGCAACTGCAATGAAGTGGACGATATGAATGACAAGCTCGTGGAAACTGTCCATGCGGTTGGAGCTTTTTTTTATAGGATAGGGTGACAAACGAGCTCACAGTCCACCTGATGGTAAGTGGTTGCTGTAGCCCATAGACATCTACATCTATCCTCAATAAAGACTCAAGATGCAGATGCGTTGTCACCCGTGAGGACTAAGATGGAATGCCTCTTTGCCAGTAAAAAGGGTCTCCGGTTCTCTACACTCACCATACGAAACACAGCAGCGTTAAGCTGCTATTTTACGCTGGTTTTCTGTGAGAGCGGGGTCCTTCCCCGGTCGAACTGACCCATTTGTGCTACAACTATACTACTAATATAGCTGCAGCATGGCTCTACCACGTACAAAAGTTCTGCACGACCCGCCGCAGAAGAACACAAAAACTCTCTGATCACACTCTTAATCTCATGCCTGTTAGATGGGAGATGAAGCTACATTCTTCAACAGATTTTACAGCATACAGGCAACTGACCAGGCAGATCTCCAAATGCATGCGGCGGGACTTACGCAACTTCAATACAGCTTGTATAGAAGAAGCGATCGAGCGGAACCAAGGCTCCAAAGTCTTTGCCAGAGATCTGTCTGCCAGAAAGAGCCAACTGTCAAAGCTGAAGACCGAGTGTGGCAGCATCGTTTCCGGGGCACCTGAGATTTTGAATAAGATTGAGAGGTTCTATGGGCAGCTGTACACGTCATCGTTGGAGCCACACGCAAGTGTGAGTAACGATCCAAGAGTGAGTCTTATCCGACACTATTCCGAAGATATCCGGGACGTCAGTCTGAGCGAGATTAGAATGGCTCTCCAGCACCTTAAAAACGGCAAGGCCCCGGGCGAGGATGGAATTACAGCGGAACTTTTGAAAGCGGTTGGAAAACCGGTACTTGAAGCTGCATTGGAAGACGTTTTCAAGCTTCTGGACTGGAAAGGATACGGTATTAACATCAATGGCGAGTA